CTCAGCAACTTAGTGAGACCTATCTCAAAAAAAAAAAAAAATTATTGTCAAGTATGTTTTGTTCTTTTATTTATTTTTGCTGTGTTGGGGACAGAACCCAGGGCCTCAAGCATGTTAGGTAAGCACTCTACCACTGAGCTAACCCCCAGCCCTAAGTACATTTTATCCTATTAAACACTGAAAAATCTTTGGGGATAGTTTAAAAAACAGATATTCAGGGGTTGGGGTGTAGCTCAATGGTAGAGCACTTGCCTAGCATGTGTGAGGCACTGGGTTCTATCCTCAGCACCGCATAAAAATAAATAAATAAAATAATGGTATTGTGTCCATCTATAACTAAAAAAATATTCATCTACTTTTCCTGTCCGTGAGAATTTGTTCTGTTTGTAATTAAGTTTTAGTTACAGTTTTTTAAGAAGGGAACTAACTTGTTTCCATGACAGCAGAGTCATCTGATAAAAAAGGAGGAAAAAATGGAACTACAATATCTATTATTAGAAAACACATCCTTATTTCCTTAGGCACAGGCATTTTGCTAGAAATAAACAGAATCATCCTTTATATTAAATGTCCTTCTTCATATTTGATGGAACTGAGGCCTGCCTCACCGTGTGCTCTGGATTTACCCTTCTAGCAGCTCATCTGCAGCCACAGCACACCGTTTATTATGCTAGGGAGACTGAGCTGCTCGTGGGGTTTCACAGCACTCCCCGATACTCTTTGGCTTTTCCCTTTCTTTTTCTTCCTTCCCTCACTCTTTGCCACTCTTTCCAGTTTTTCCTTACTCTACATCTTCGTCTTCACTCATGCTCCTTTTCTTTAACCTCTTTGGAGGGCTCCAAACATAGCTGCAGACATTTTGGTCATAATTGCCCTCTTGCCTGCCAGGTGACCCTGGCATATATCCCAAACCCTATAGGTTTAAACAAAGTCATTCAGATAACTGAGCATTTGTGCTGGCCACTGATGGCTGGATTGTTTCTTAACTGATGTTTGACATGTTCACAGGTTTTGAGAAAGGCCAGGTACATTCCAGTTGGCTGTGGCCCACTTTTGTCTAGCTTAGCATGTAAACTCCTTCCTCCTGCTTTGGGGAGTGGGGATCTTCCTTTCTTGCTGCCACCCAAGACATACTTCTGTCTGTAGGTCTGTCTTCCTTTCTTTCTTTCTTTCTTTCATACTGGAGATTGCACCCAGGTCACTTAACCACTGAGCTACATCTCCAGCCCTTTTTGCTTTTTATTTTGAGACAGGGTCTCACTAAGTTGCTGAGGCTGGCCTGGAACTTGCAATCCTCCTGCCTCAGCTTCCCAGGCTGCTGGATTACAGGGTGAGCACCACTCCTGGCCTGTTTGTAAGTCTCTAATACATTGCACTCTGTGCAGTCCTGGATCTGCCTCTTTCTTTGGTCTTCTGGCATCTCCCTCCTTTGGCAACCAGTTCTCATACATGTGAACCGGGTTTTTTGAAATGCTCCTTCTTCCCTTTTATGCTTTCACTCCACAAGGCTTCTTGCACAGGCTCTTCTATCCTCAGCACTCTGCTCAGGCAGAGTCTAAGGGGCGAGCAGGCTGGACAAAGAGACGTGTGGACCTTGAGCAGGCAGGCTCTGGCAACTCTTCCTTCAATCCCCATCTGGATGAGGTTGGCTGTGTTTATGGAAGGCTTTGGGGGAACATTGGTACTGTAGCTTCTTTCTTCTGCAGTCTCAGGCAGTTCGCACTGCACACCCATTTGTGGCGACAAAAGTGCTGCAGTTAACTGGGTCCCCCCCTCCTTCTAGGCTGCTGTAACAACCAGCTGTTGATCGCTTAAGCATGTCTTGGAATCTACCCTAATCCACTCACGTGGCCTCCTAATAGTCTCCCTCATCCTCAAATTGTATTCTCCCCACCTGGAGTTCTTATCAGTTCACTCTCCCTCATCTCATTGCATTTCCAGGGATATCTTGGATGTTCCTAAGACTAGGTCCTAGGATGCTGCCAGGCGTGGCTCCCCCTGAACCAGACTCCAAGTTCCCTTACCATTGTTGCAAGCTCACCACAGCTGGCTGGCTCCCTGTGCCTCCCTGCAGTTCACACTCCATCCCTTCCCTCCCCCAGCAACTTCTTCTCCTTAGGTCTCCCTTTCCTTCTGCTCCACTTAAATCTCTGGCGCTTATTGACTTTTTCTGCTTTTGGACACACTCTCCCATTTGTGACCATGTGAGCTAAAACACTTTCCTAACAGATTTAAGATCCTTTCTTAAACAGGATCAGTCAATTCCTGGTCTGCAGATAATGGATAGTTTTCAAGCACTGCAAACCACTGCATTCCCCTTTTTTTAGCTCCAGAAAGCTATTAAAATAAAGAACTATTTGCATCCAGTCATAGTCAGCTTTCAAAATATGTATTAATATTAGAATATGGACAATATCAATATTATTGAAATAATCTATTTAAAATAATATAAAGAAAATAAGTCATACGTGGGATATAATAAATTTTTTAAGTTATATATTTGTATTCTAGAAAAGTAGAAATATACCTTCAAATAATATAAGATGACAAATTCCTGAAATGTGTTTAAAGAAATCAATCTGAATAGATACATTTATATGAGTTTTATCTACTTTATATTTAGCCTGAAAGCCTATTTTTTAACAATGCCTTCACATTGCTAATATTATTTTTTAAATTTCTCTTCTGAACTGGCCTTCAGAACTAATTTGGTAGACACTGAAGAAAATCAAACTCTAGTTTAATCATCTTAAAGTTTATTTTTATAATTATGATTATTAGCTGGGTGCAGTGGCACATGCCTGTCATCCCAGCAGCTCAGGAGGCTGAGGCAGAAGGATCATAAGTTCAAAGCCAGCCTCAGTAATTTAGCAAGGCCTTAAGCAATTTAGTTATTGTTATTACAAAACAAAACAAAAAGTAGTTCTAGTTGACTGCCTGCTTTATACACTGACCTGGATGTCCAATAGCTTTTTGTTTCCAAAACTCTTTATCTGTTCTCAAAGGGTAAAAATTTTCCACTACAGCAGAAGGAACATGCCATATCCACTGATACCAAAATATATTAAACAGTGACAGGATTATAAGCATAAACAAATAGTTTTCTAAAGTAGAAATCTTGAGGGTAACATCACTCATTGAATGTGTTAAGTTCTGGTGTTTGTTCACAAATTAGCTATACTATTTTCTGATAATGCTTCCTGGACATCTTTTTCTTTTTTTGGTGGGTGGGGGTGCTGGGAGCCATTAGCCAAGTAGGTATGACAATTTCCTTGCCAGCGTACCCCATGTTGCTGACATGTTGCAGCGACATTGAATGTAGGTGACCTTGCTCAAGGACCAAGGCAGATTAGGGTGTTCCCGGTTTTAATCGTGTTTAGGGCGTTCCCAGTTTAGGTTCCAGGTTTAAGGTTTAAGATTATTCCTGCTGGGAATAGGGCGTATCCTGCTGCCTGAGTTCCCCTTGAGTTCTCACGGGATTCAGACAGTATATTTTGGAGATAGAAGCCCAGTATATAGTGGAGATAGAAGCCCAGTGGAGGTGGATTTGGGAGAGAACGTGGATTTGGGCAGAAAACGTGGATTTCCCCAGAACGTGTTTGTAGACGGCTGGTGTGAGTTCGGGAATAAAGAGTTGCTGTTTGAATCTACAAGCTGTGTGGTGGCTCGTGATTGTGTGCCCAGCCAGACTGCGGCATTTGTGCCCAGCCAGACTGCGGCATGGGGGTACAGGGGATTGAACTCAGGGGCACTTGACCACTTAACCACATCCCCAGCCGTATTTTGTATTTTATTTAGAGTCAGGGTCTCACTGAGTTGCTTAGGCCTCACTAAGTTGCTAAAGCTGGCTTTGAACTCCGTATCCTCCTGCCTCAGCCTCCCAAGCTGCTGGTATTACAGGCGTGCACCACCATGCCTGGCTTTGGATATCTTTTTGATGATAAAACACATAGAAACAAAGCAGAATGGTTGCAGGGCTGGAATGTGGGGGAAATGGGGAGTTGTTTAACAGGTATGGAGACGAGTTCTAATTTTGTGAGATGAAAATATTCTGGAGAGTAGATGCTCAGCAATACGCATATACTGCACCCCTACTAAACTATACAATACAATATGGTTAAAATGATAAATTTTATGTATATTATACCATAATTATATTTTTTTAAATTAAAAAATTATCCTAGATGAAATATATTTCCCTCATAATGACAAAGTAGATAATAGATGATAAAATATAGGTGATTATAATCATGCTGTCAAAATACAAATATATATATATATATATATATATATATATATATATATGACCAGTCATGTTTTCAAAATGCTAATATAATTTATTAATACTTTACCCTATGGAAATTTAAAAATTACACTGATAAAATAATATGATGTCCTTCCTATTCTGAGATGTAATTCTCCATCTCCTTTCCCATCCAATATCTCTCCCTGGAAGTAGCTTCTGTTGTTGTCTCCTACGAGGTGTTCTGTGCATATGCACCCCAAGATGCTAGACAGAGTACTACATGTTCCTTTTATTACTTAACTGTACATGTTAGAGTTCATTCCATATGAGCTTGTGACACTCTGGCCTCTAGACTGTATTTTATTTATTGACGCCTCTTGTGATCCACGTTATATACCGTCTGTTGACTACAATTAGGTCTAAAGAACAAAACTTTTTGCTTTTTAAAATTAAATTGACTCAACTGGACATGGTGGCTCACCCTGTCATTCCAACTATTCAGGAGGCTAAGGCACAAGGATCACAAGTTTGAGGCCAACCTTTGAGGCCAACCTCAGCAACTTAGCAAGACCCTGTCTCAAAATAAATAAATAAATAAATAAAAATTTTAAAAAAGAAAGGGCTGGGGTATAGCTCAGTGGCATAGCACTTCTTCTGGGTTCCATCCGAATATCTCAAAAAAAAAAAAAAAATCGCTTCTTCAGAGACCAACTGATTTTGAATAACCTAGCAGATTCTGGAAAAACCCAATTACCTTAAAAGTAGCAAAGGCATCTGAAGCAATATCAAATGTTGACAACTCCACATACTTGAAGAAATCTCTGAATTGGTTAGAAAAGAGGATGATTTTGGCAAGTGGTTCATGTCGAATACATTCTCTCAGCATAATCCCACAACGTAAGGCAATCTGTGGAGCTTCATACCTAAAGCACAATGAAGAGAGAAACGGAGAACTCTGTTACCCCATTAACAAAATAATATCAATGATGTTTAACAGACCATTTCATACTACTGCCCATGGGAACACTGATGCCATTTGTCACAGTTCATTCAAACAGGATTCATTCATTACCCATGGACTATCTGTTATGTGCCTGGCACTATTCTAGACACTGGGGATATGTTAGTAAACAGGGCAAGGTCACTGCCATGATAACCTTCATATTTTAGTGAGAATGTGTATGGAGGGACGAGGTAGAACATAACCAATGTAAAGATAATTTCATATATACATAAGAAACAGAAGATGATAAATAAGGCAATATTATAGAGTGCTGTGAAAACAGAAGATGGTAAATAAAGCAATACTATAGAGTGAGACTACTTAAATTGTGAGTGATTTCTTAAGTTTTACTTCAGATTGAAGTGAAGGGTCAAGGTGGTCCAGACAACTCTGTAAAGTCTCCAAGGCAAGAACAAGATTGGTGAGTTAGAGAAGAAATATGGCCAGAGTGGTGGAATGGAGGTAATAATAGTAGTGAGCAGTATTATGCGAGGCAAGAGAGGAGAGAAGGGCAAGGTCAGAGCCTAGCATGGTTTGTAAACTAAGGTATAATTTGGGTTTAAGTGTGATGACTTTACATGTGATTTGGTTTTAAGCCTTTGGAGAGTTTAAAGCAAGAAATGAACACAGCCTAACCTAAGCTTTAAAAAGATGGCTCTGGATAGGTGTGGTGGCACACACCTGTAATCCCAGCAGCTTGGGAGGCTGAGGCAGGAGGATTCAAAGCCAGCCTTAGCAATTTAGTTAGACCCTATCTCTAAATAAAATAAAAAGGGCTATAATGTGGCTCAGTGATTAAGTGCCTCTGGGTTCAATCCCTGGTACAAAGAAAAAAAAAAGAAAGAAAAAAATGGCTCCAGGGCTGAGGGTGTAGCTCAGTGGTCAAATACCTGCCTAGTAAGCATGAGGTATCCTGGGTTTAAGGCCAGCACTGAGGGAGGGGTGGAGGGAAACGCTGCCCTGACTGCTGGTGGAGATGTATTGTAAAGCAGCAGGAGTGGACTAGGTAGCTGGAGGGCAAGCTGGCAGACGGGTGCAGGAGCATAAACCCAACAGTGGTGATGGTGGCGTGGCTGGGGCAGCAGCAGCAGAACTCAAGGCTGTGGCAGAGGCTGGATCCTGTTTGGAGGAAGAGCCAACAGGACTTGCTGATGTCGGAGGTGGGACTGGATGGGAAATAAATGACTAGAGGAACACGGACTAGTGAAGAAATTGCTGCTGACAGCGTTAACTGTTAACTTTGAGATGGCTGACATCTGAGAAACAATGTCTCCTCAGCAGGAGACTATACCCATCTGGAGTTCAGGAAAAAGGCAAGGGAGATTTTTATGTAAATGTGATCTGGGAGCGCAAGTGACCAGTAAAGAGCTGTGGGTTCATTGGCTCAATAAAGTCATGAAGTGGAATTGTGGCTCACAGCAAAACTCCACTAGAAACAGTATCTACTGTAGGAAAAGAGCTGAGGACTGGCACACCAGATCTGTTCCATTTCTAATTAACAGCGGTCTCTCAAATGTCAAATGCAGCATCTAAATAAATCTAGGTTTGAGTTACATTCCAGAATGTGATAAGATTTCAAGAAAATGAACAATACTTAGCCCAAATAATATAAGCCCTGTGCTGAAATGATACAGTTGACAATTGTGTGGTAAATACAGGAAGAGTAGGACAAAGATGTAGTTGTAAAACATTAGGAAGTGAGTAGAACACAGTATAAAAAAAGAATAGTCTGACCAAGTTTGGAATAGATTGTATCATTTCCCACTTCAATGAACTAGATACTAGTTCTGTTGTGTTTTGTACAAAGCCCATTGACAAAAGCAACTTAAAATGACGATTCCTAAAAAAGTGTTTTCCTATAATGTTTTTTGAAAATAAGATAAAAATGACATTTACAAAGGACTGTGTGTGTGATCTTTCAAGTTTACTATGTATTCTGAAAGTTAGGAAAAATAAAAATATAAAAAATTTTAAGCAAAAATGACATTTGAATGGATGAGAAAGAGTAAATATTTGAAAACTAAAACTAACCCCACCTTATATAAAACCTGAAGATAATTCACCAGTCACCCACTACTAGCAATAACGTTTTGTTGACCAATAAAGAACAATCTATTGAACAATGTATTTATAAGATCATAGTATTTGCATGAAATTCAGATTCAAGAATAAACCTCATTCCCATAATTTAGAAAATAGGCTACTATATAATCAAATTTACAAAAACAGTAAAGTAGCAAATTAGGACATCAGTGTGATATTTACTCATTTTTATCCTAATTATAAAGTTGAATGATATTCCTAAATATTGAATACTCCCTGAATAACTCACAGTAATATTAAATGTTGATATACTCAGATAGATCTGGTTCTTTGTAGAACATAAGGAAGGCCAATTTATAATGTTAGCAATTTTTCTCATCATAAAAATTTGAAAATCGGCCTAGTGGTACACATTAAATAGTTGTAAGATGGGATAACATTAAAGATGTTGTAATGAGAGGGTATATTTTTTGAAATATCAAGGAGAAAAACACTGTCAATTATTGATAGAATATTTAAGAGACTATAGAATAAAGGCTCTCGGGCCTAGATAACGAGCATTAGGGACAATTAAAATCAGACTTCTTAGTAAGATATTTGTGGACTTTGATAATTTGGCCTAAACCTGGCTTCTCACTTCACTTCCCATTACATTCCCCATTTCCCTTGAGTGGAATGCCCTTTCTAGTTTCCCCAATAAGATGCTCATCTTTCAAGATTGAATTCAGACTCCTTTTGGAAGTTTTTTGTAAGCGCCCACCATTCAGGATTGTCCTCTCTCCCCTTCACATTCCCACAATAGCTTGTCTGTAATTTCACTTTAACACTTTTATCATCCTGAATTAGGTCACATTTCGGTAAGTTGTTATAAATCGGTTTTCTTCACCTCATTGCTGGTGATGTGTTTTACTTACTCCATTACTCACCCACCCTGCCTCCGCTTCCCCATTTGGTGTCTATGTCTCATTTATTGTTATGTTCTTCCTGCATACCGCATCTCCAAAGAGTTCCTAGAATAATTTTTTATACAAAGTAGGTATATAATGAATTTAATGAACCTTAAACTCTGACTGAATGTCCTAATGAGAGTCAAACTCTGGCTTAGACAAAAGCTGTCTGATCTCTAGCCAACATCTCTCATTTCTGAATTCAGTTTCCAAACTGAGATCATCTATAAAAAGTTTCCACCCCAACTTCTGAGTATAATTAGTTCTCTTTTTCCTTTCATTTAGTGAAGTTTATTGGAACCATCTGTGATGCAATGATGATTTATTCTTGAGAACCAAGAGAACATTTTAAAAAATATTCCTGGGGCAGAACACTTATCAATTCATCCCAATAGTATGTTCCCAACACCAAAAATGTCAGTCTGTAAGATGACAACTTCGTAAAGTTAGGAATACATTGGGACATTGAGGGAAATCCCTGACTTCCTCAATATCCTTTAAGGAAACTATAATTCACACTTATCATTTCAACCTGACTATCCTCTAGGATACTGATTTTTCATAGGTTATTGTTCACTATTCAAAGAAGTGCTCTATAAATTAAGCCAATCATTAAGTTTCAAATCCCACTAACATTAATATCCTTAGTCTTAGAATCAGTATTTATCTCACCTAATCTATTCTAGTTATGGATAAGCTTTCTGATGGCAAGGACCACCACAACTAATCATTCTGTGTCCCCCCCCACCACCACCACCGCGCAATGACCAAAAGGATGGCAGGTCACCAATGAAGGTTAATATTATGAGTACTGAATCATATCTTCCCTCCTCACTTACAATTTATAATATAGTCTGGACTATAATTAACTGTGTCAGTTCAGAGAAAGCACATTACTATATATGCACATTCATTCAAATGAGAATAGCATATTGGAAGATCCCCTTGAAACTTCATGAAAGTCAAAATATAAAAGCAATTGTTTCAACTAGCAGTGAGCTATGGTAATCATTACACAGAAAATGGCTAGAAGAAAGAACTTATACAAGAACATCTCAACAAAGATTATACTATGTAAGTGGAAAATGACTTTTATTATTAAAGGGAGCAAACAATGCCAGACTGTATTTAGAAAGCTTTTATAAAATGCCATTCACTTAACCCTCAGCCTGCTTCATAGTCAAGAAGGTTTTGCTTCTAATCTAGAAACACTTGCTTACTTTAAAAATGTGTTAATTTTGGTCACTAAAAAGGTGTAGAATCAATGATAATTTAGGGTCAGTGAACACCCCTAAAATCCAGATTGTAGTCTCCAAGAATCAGTCCTCACCTAAAACAAGCAGGGTCCTTGGTAGAAATTCCAGGTAGAAATATACACTCTGGACCTGGTATTTCTTTTTGCACCAGAAAATGAAGCTCTCATAAACTATTTTGGTGTTCTCAAAAGACATCAACCAGAAGGGGCCACAAATGGTCAACTGAGCATTAAAAAGAAAAATGTGTGAAATTAAACGAGACAATATGGAGAGCATCATTACATCTTTTAGTTAATAAGATATCAGAGGGGTGGTGTGTTTGTGTGAGAAAGAGAGAGAAAGAGAGAGGGTATAAAACTCACTGGACACCAAAGGAAGTTCCTAAATATCTAAATTGATAATTACAATAAAGGAATTGGGCATTAATTCTACCTCTCTGGTGTGAATTGTTTGAGAGTATATAATAATTGCAGTAGATGAAAAAAGTTATACTCTATAAAACTACTCTAGCCAATAAATCAGCAAATCATGTGCAAGGGATGATTTGTTTTTTTAAAAAATTTTGTCTCCTAATGAAATGTTTGAATCAGCCAGTGTTCATCAATGGATAGTAAAAGGATTAAAGGTACAGATGACAGGAAACTTTATAATGGAGGCCAAACTGGTGGAATCCCTTGATCCTAGACTTTCGGCCTCTAAAATTCTGAGTAAAGAACTTTTTTTTATTATAACAACAACAAAATACTGTATAATGGATTAATGGATTAGACTGTCATCATCTGAGCTCATTGCTCAATTTGAGCATTACTAAAAGTATGTCTCCTGATGGGATGAAATATGAACTAGATAAACCCACCTTCAAAATATTGCCAAAATAAAAATTGAATTTGAATTTAACCAAGCCTTTAAATAGAAACTCCAGTCTAGAAATAGAGTGTATAATGGACCAAGTTAAATGACACTATAAGAAGGCAATGTGACTACTTCACAATGGAGGAAATAATATAGACTAACAGTATTTTCAACAAATCAGTGTACAAATGTGTGGGTAGGGGTTGTTCTAAATGAAAGAGACTTAAGATTTTTAAAATTTTTTTGACATAAGTAAAATTATAACCAAATACAATGACTGGACTTGATTAGGATACTTGTTTGAATATTTGAACAAATCAACTATGAAAAGGTTTTCTTGTTTGTTTGTTTGTTTTACAGTTGAGGAAATTTGAGTACAGACTAAGTATTGGTCGTTATAGAATTATTGCTATAACAACTTCATGATTATGTAAAAATTATATTTTTATTTTTGAGATGTTTATTTAAGTGTTTAGGGATTTGCTTTAAAATACTCTAGCCTCCTCCAAAATATAAATATGGGGCTGGTGTGCATTGGGGAGATAGATAAAACAAACAGCAAAATATTGATAGTAGTGAAGGGTGACTGATTGGGGGTATGTGAGTTTCTTATACTTACTACTTTTACATATGGATGAATTTTTAAAATTTTTAGTTGTAGTTTGACACAATACCTTTATTTTGTTAATTTATTTTTATGCGATGCTGAGGATTGAACCCAGTGAGTGCTTCACACATGTTAGGCAAGTGCTCTACCACTGAAGCCACAACCCCAGCTCTGGATGAAAATTTTTATGATGAACTTTTAAATGGATTAAGAAATATTTATAATTTTAACGTTGGACTTATGGAACATCTTTCCCTGGCCAAAATTTTTATGGATCACTGAGAGAAGTTTGTTGATCTCATCCTCAAGTTCTCTCAGTATCCTGGAGTGTCATCTGCCTCAGCCAGGAGACAAATTGAGAATGAAAAAGTCCTTTGTGAATGTCCTTTTCATAAAACTTGAGTTCCAGATGCCTTACATCATATAATCCAGATGATTCTCCTTGATAGACAGATATCCATTTCTTTCTGCTTTACTTTTTTTTTTTTTTTTTATGGTTAGAGTTAGATTTAGTTTCAGTATAATGTAACTATTACACCCCTAAATAACATTATTGTTTGATGTATAAATGTACCAATCAAATTATGTCCTAAATTTTCAAGGAACTTCCCAAGAAGTAATTTAGTAAAAATTCTAGCCTTTAACAAAGGGCTAAATCTGTAGCATTCCAAACAAAACTAGGAAATGGTAACAGGTAAAACTGATCGTAGTGCAGCCATTCAGTTAGGGCTTCTCATTGTCTGCTCTGTCCTCAGGAGCATCCATAGTGCCCTCTCCTTTACATCTGAATGGTCCTCAAATCTTAGGGATATATTAATTGTAAAGGGCATGGGACTTAAAATCAGATCTGAATTGAAAACATGGCTCTGTCACTTATTAACTATATAACCTTGAGAAATATTTTTTTGAGTTTTAATTTTCTCATTTGTAAAATGGCAAGAATAATACCTAGACCTCATAGAATTACTGGAGTGATCAATACCTGGCACAGAGCAAGCACTCATTAAGTGTTAACTACAAAACAGGATGAGAAGGAATGGGTTAAAAGTTCAGGATAAAAACAGAAGAATAATCTTTTTGTGTGTGTGTTGCTGGGGATTGAACCCAGGGCCTTGTGCATGTGAGGCAAGCACTCTACCAACAGAGCTATATCCCTAGCCCAGAAAAGTCGTTTTAATAGAGAAAGAAAACCAGAGGTATAGTCCCTAAATTGTTACTAATGGTTTCATTGGGAGAGATGATGAAATGCATGTCTTTTTTTATATTAAATATTTCTGAAATGTTCAAATTTTAAATAATAAACATGTATTACTTTTGAATCAGAAAAAAAAAAAATGAAATGCATTGATATATCACTCTCTTCACTCCCATGACCATCACTTTTCTTGGACTTTTCCAAGCTGGAATTGCAGCCCCCAATCCGCTCAGCCATTTTTCCCATTGCTACTACAGCTCACTAAACCTAGTCCCTGGGTGACTCCACGTGTCCTACAGAATGACATTCAAACTCCTTGAGTAGGGCAGGGAAAGCTTTTCCTAATCTGGTTTCAGCCTTTCTAGCTTTGCATTCTGACTCATCTAGCCTCCAGCCACACTAGAATTCTTGTCTGTCATTCTCTAAACACATAAATTCTCTTGTAAATGTCATTCTCTTATAAATTTTTACCTTCCTCCAGGCTGAAACAGCAGTGAACAAAGTGATCTTAGAAAGCACATGCTAAAGAGGGCAGAACCCCTTGCTGACCTGAGCTTCTACCCGGTATCATCATGGGAGTCTTGTGATCAAGGCACTCCATTTTGGGGCCCATTTGTTATGGAAGTTTAGCATACTGTAACTAATGGATACAATTAATAGATACAAGCATATTTCCCTTTCTAAAAAGGAGAGACATGATTCTCCAGTAAAAATATTTCTTTATATCAAAACCTAAAGTAATTGGTGTACTCTGTATGCTCAATAATGAATAATAACCACACAGTCATATTAATCAAATTGAAAATGTGATAAAGTATATTGGGAGGATAAAGGGAAGAAAATGGAGTAATGGCAGCAAAAAAACTAATAGTTTTTTAAATTTGATAATTCAAATTAGAAGACTTATTTGTAACACAGAGGTAAGTGTATGATAAAAAATAATTAAAAAGATGAGAGTCATTGTCTTTGGAAATAGGATTAAAGGATGGAGAAGGAAGAGGCAAAAAACTGCCTTTGTTGAAATATCTGATATTTAAACCATGTGTTATGTATTGCTTGGATACAATAGAATGTTTACAAAAGTACAAAGGAGGAATGAAACACAGGTGAGATGGAATATGTATGGAATAGCAGAATTGAGAACAGGAATACTATAAAATAAAAAGAGCCATGCTGGTTTGAAATGGTATAGAATAAAAAAGAAGGGTAGGGAAAGAAGAAGATAGTCTGTTGTCCCTGAACACTGCTGCATCCAGATGTCTAGTCTTTAGAAGTTAGAGTAGCCTCAAATATTTGTAAATGAGTAGACCTTATGATCAGGAATTCTGTTTTCTAGCTTGCCTTCAATTTTTTGGCTCCCTTCAAGGCTATATATACACACACACACACAGAATAATATTTTGTCCTCATGTAGAAGCATATCACCTTGGCAAACACTAGCTATTGAAATAATTCTTTCAGCTATTATTTGAGTTCTCAGAACAGGAATGTACATGTGTATGTAATGAGGGGACTCAGTATCATGTGAGCAGTAATAGGGCAGGCTGGGAAGCACAAATAGTTTTGTAAGATGAAAGAAAGGGAGAGGGGCTGGGGATGTGGCTCAAGTGGTAGTGCGCTCGCCTGGCATGCGTGCGGCCTGGGTTCGATCCTCAGCACCACATACAAAGATGTCGTGTCTGCCAAAAACTAAAATGTAAATAAAATATTAAAAAAAAAAGAAAGGGAGAAAAGAGAAGCAGTAAATGAAACTATGTTAGAAATATAAAGGTGCAAAAGTTTTGCTATAGCCCAAGTAATCTTTCTTTTTTAAATATTTTTTTAGTTGTAGATGGACACAATACCTTTATTTTGTTTATTTTTTTATGTGGTGTTGGGGATCGAACCCAGTGCCTCACATATGCTAGGCAAGTGCTCTAACCACTGAGCCACAACCCCAGCCCCAGCCCAAGTAATCTTAAGAGACAGATTATGAAGGGTTACCTCAAGCATGGTAAATACCTATCTTGCAATTCCAAAGGGAACCAACCATATTTCCAGTGAGGCAAATGCTATGTTCTTTGTTTTTTGTGTTTTTCTTTTCCTTTTCTTTTCCATGTGTGTGGTGGTGGTGGTGGTGGTGGTGATGGTGCTGGGGAATCAAACCCGGGGTCTCACAAATGTCATGCAAGCTCTCTACCACTGAGCTTCATTCATCTCCGCATACATAGTTTTTTTTTTTTTTCCTGTCTTTTTGGTACTGGGGATTGAACACAGGGGCACTTGACCACTGAGCTACATCCCCAGCCCTATTTTGTATTTTATTTAGAGACAGGGTCTCACTGAGTTGTTTAGTACCTCGCTTTTTGCTGAGGTTGGCTTTGAACTCACGATCGTCCTGCCTTAGGCTCCCCAGCCACTGGGATTACAGGCATGTGCCATCACTCCCAGCCAGTATGTTCTTTTTTGTTTTTTTAATATTAATTTTTTAGTTGTAACTGGACACAATATTTTATTTATTTATTTTTATGTGGTGCTGAGGATCGAACCCAGGGCCTCACACTTGCTAGGTGAGCGCTCTACTGCTGAACCACAATCCCAGCCCCAGCACATGTACTTTTAACAACTGTTTAAACTCAAACCTATTTTGAAGGAAGCCAGGCACCTACCCTTTGAGGAGCATAAACAGGATATGAGGATGAGCACTAATGTATTCCACAGTGGGACTCCGAGTGCCTATTTGTCTTCTCAGGATGTTGTTAAATATCTGGGTCACATCTTTTTTTCCCTGTTAAAGAAAGAAGTCACTATTAAATTGTACACTTAAAAATGAATGAATTGTATGGTATGTGATATTTGCATATATACCTACAGAGATGATACCATCTTTTGATCATATGCAGAAACATTATTTACTTTTTCATTTGTCTTTAACAAATTATGCTTTCAAACACAAAGCCTGCAAAATGGATGCAGCTCCTTGCCTCAGGAATTATATGGGGAATTTGAAGTCCATTCCTCACAGTAGGAAATACAATGGCACAGAAGTATAAAAACTAGTAGTGGATATGCTAGGACAGAATTCTTTACACTTTTTGAGCTTTATTCAAGAAGAATATTATGATTAACATTTTTAAATCTTCATAAATAAGGAAAATAGATGAAGAAAAAAATAAAGATTTTAGTAAAATGTAAGTCAAAAATCACATTTTTTTTTCTCTGGTCTACTTCCTAATAATTCTTTCTCTTTATTCCTCTTCTACTTTGGTGCTTTACTTCTAGACTAGACAGACAGAAAGAACCATTAAGTTCTAGTTGCCCTAGCTAGAGGAACTACAGCCATTTTAAAGTAGGGCCATTTAGAGTTCCCATGTATAAAAATTTCATTCTCACACCCTAAAACCTAAGACTAGCATGCTTCTCCAAAAGAATCTCTTGATTGGACCCGAATTTATTATATAGAAAATAAGGACAAGAATTACATTGCATTCTCATTCACCATGGCCCTGGTTCTGAGCTTCAACTGTACTAGGAAGGAACTTCTTCTAGTTACTCTATGCATTTTAAAGTCTCCTTACTCTGCAGACTGAACTAGTAAGAAAGAAATTTGGCTGCTTTGTTTCTTCCCTAAAGCTCTTCAATGACTCCCTTTTTCTTAGGAAAAAAGTTCAATGCCCTTCAATGATCTGCCCTTGCCTGCTTCTCCAACCTTATCAACCATCTATCTCTTTTTGATCCTTACATCAGTTTTTATGAAAACCAAATTGCTTCACTGTACATACTTATGCACAGCCTCCCGTACTTCTGTACATTTGTTCATGTTCTTGTACTTGTCCTGAACACTTTTACTTCATTTTTCTAGCAAACTGTTAAGATTCAATTCAGATAATCCCAGTAGCTGGGGAGGCTGAGGCAGGAGGATGGCAAGTTCAAAGCCAATCTCTCAGAGAGATCCTAAGCAATTCCTTGAGACCCTGTCTCTAAATAAAATATTTTTTAAAGTGCTGGGGATGTGGCTCAGTAGTAAAGTGCCCCTGGGTTCAATCCCTAGTACCAAAAAAAAAAAAAAAATCAGAGCTGGGCATGGTGGCATATGCCTCTCATACCAGCAACTCTGTATGCGGAGGTGGGAGGATTTCAAGTTTGAGGCGAGTCTTGGCAACTTAGTGATAGTGAGATCTTGTCTCAAAAAAGGGCAGGGGGGTTAGCTAGTGATGTAGCTCTGTGGTTAAGAGTCCCTGGGTTCAATCACCAGTATTGAAAAAAAAAACCAATACAGGATATTCTCCTCTGGGATAAGTACCTCTGTCTGTGTTGCAGCAACATCCTTTGCTTGCCTTGATCAGTGCCTTCTCTTCACTTGCTGCTTCCATTTTCACCCGCTGTCACTGACAGAGCAGCAGACCCTTATTAAGTGCTTCATCTGTGCCAGGCACTTATTCTAAGAGTTTTATGTGTATCATTCACTCTTCACAGCAAAATATATATATTATAAATGTCAAAATGTACATATTATAAATAAGGAAGCTGAGAACCCAGTGAGGTTGACTTATCCAGAGGCGATATGGAAGACCCAAAACATTTTCCCAGATTGATGGAGTCCACAGTCCAAGTTCTTAACCATCAAACTAAAATGACTTCCTCACACTTACCACAGTGCATTGAAATTAGTGGGTTTTGTCTCTGACAGTTTCTCATTGGACTGTTAGCTTTCAAGGCCATATTTCAATGCCCTTTTATAGCCAAGAATATAGAAGGCACTCAGTAAATACCCATTAGACTGATCATTACTTTAGAGGTACAGCCATCCATGTATCGCTCTTATCACAAACACAGGCAATTGATTGTGTGTGTGGGTGAGAGGGTTACTGGGATTGAATTCCACAAGCACTCGACCTCTGAACTACATCCCCATACTTTTTATTTTTTTATTTTGAGAAAGGGGCTCACTGAGCTGCCAATGTTGGCCTTGAATTTGTGATCCTCCTACCCCAGCCTCCTGAGTCACTGGGATTATAGGCATGTGCCACCATGCTTGGCCCCTCTTACCTTTTAATCTGACACTTCAATACTAAAGGGACACTTAAAAAACTAAGACCCAAATGAAGACCAATGAGATTTCAATCAACTACTCATTCTTAAAGCTATTAAAATATGAGTTAGGTGCTGATTAAGAATAGTAAAATATTAAAAATTCTGGGAGGAGCTCATTCACCTTATTAATATTAGTTCAGAATAGATCTTGGACTTTAAACATAAGACTAGAAAATTTTGGAGAAAAATAGAAAACCTTAGGATCTAGGATTGTACAAAAAGTTCTTGGCCTTGACACTAAAAGCATAGTCAACTTGGACTTTATTAAAATTTAAAACTTTTGTTCTGCAAAAAATCCTGTTAATAAGTTGAAAAGTCAAGCTATAAGGAGAAAACCATATACTGCAAACCATATATGTGACAAAAAGACCAGTTACCTAGAATATATAAAGAACCCTCAAAACTTAATAGCATAAAGAAACAATTCAATTAGAAAACAATCCAATTAGAAAGACATGAAAAGGCATTTCACTAGAAAGGATCTTGACCCTTCAGGAAATGCAAATTGAAACTTCAATGAGCTATTACTATACATCAGAATGGGTAAAATAAAAAATAGTGACAAAGCAAAATGCTGGCAAGAATGAAGAAAAAGCACTTTCCTACAATGTAGTGGAAATTTAAATGGTATTGCCAATCTGGAAAACACAGTTTCTTAAAAAAAATAAATAAAAAAAAAATGCAACTACCACATCAGTGCAATTTCACTCCTGACATTTATCACAGAGAAATGAAAATACATTCACAAAGAAATCTGGCCATGAATGTTCATAGAACATTACTTAGAATAGCCCAAAGTTGTAAACAACCCAAAAATTCTTCAACAGATAAATGGTTAAACAAACAAACTGTGGTATATCCATACCAAGGACTACCACTCAGCAACAAAAAGGAACAAAATATAGATAAATACAACAAATCTAGAGGAATTGTGCCAAGTGAAAAAATCCAATTCCAAAAGGTTGTACAGTAGATAAAACAATCTTCTCCCCCAACCCCTCCTTTTTCTCTCTCTCCTCCTGAGGAATCAGGGACTGAGTGTCGATGGGGTGAGAGAGGTAGATATGGATATATACAAAAGGGAAATAGGAGAGATCTTTGTGGTGATGGAAATTTTCTGTTTTGTCTTTATCAATGTTTGTATCCTGGCTGTGATACTGTCATACAGTTTTGCAAGATGTTACCACTGGAAAAACTAGGTAAGGTATATGGGACTTCTATGAATTATTTTTCACCATTGATGCCAGTCAACAATTACTTCAAAATAAAAAGGTTAATTTTTTTTTAAAAAGACATTTTTATTCACACAACGATTTTTTAAATAATAAAATTTGATGTTTTCATACACTGTTGATGAGAATATAATATATTCTAACAATGCCTAATTAGTGTCCTATAATCCCATTTTTGGAAACCTATTCTGACAAAATAATTCTAAATAACAATCCTAAATTTAAAAAAAAAGTTTCAGATACAAAGAACTTTATCACAGCAGGGATAATAGGAACAATTTAATACATCTCAGCTAGGTTAAAAAATTATGATATATTTAACTGGTAGAAATAAGTAACTGGAATATCAGAATGTTGGCAATCATGAAATACAAGAACTATCCACAGCTATCCATTGTGTTCACTTTATTTTATGGAAAGAAGTAGAGAGACCTGGAAATAAGGGAGAGGAAGAGAAGGCAAAGAGTGAAAAAGAAATGAAGGAAAGGAAATGAAAGGATTGAGGGGGAGAAGAGATAGAAATAAAGAACAGGTAATGGGAAAACAAACTATATCTTCTTTTAAGATAAAACACTAAACCAAAGTCCAAAATTAAAAAAAAAATTTTTTTAGTTGTAGATGGACACAATACCTTTATTTTATTTATTTATATGTGGTGCTGTGGATCAAACTCAGTGCCTCACATGTGCTAGGCAAGTGCTCTACCACTGACTACAACCCCAGCCCCAAAGTCCAAATTTTAATAGAAAACTTGGAGGTGAATCTTCAATATATAAAGATACTTCAGAATCAGTTGCTCTCATAATTTTTTTTTTTTTAGAAAGAGAGAGAGAATTTTTTAATATTTATTTTTTAATTTTCGGTGGACACACAGCTTTATTTTATTTTTATGTGGTGCTGAGGATCGAACCCAGCGCCCCGCGCATGCCAGGCGAGTGCGCTACCGCTTGAGCCACATCCCCAGCCCCTCTCATAATTTTTAAGTCCTCGAAAATGTTCACATTACAAAACTTCATTTATGCAGATGTTAATGACTATACGTGTATATAAAAGAGGAATAGCTGTGAATATAAATGAATTTTAAAATGAAAGAAATCATCTGTTTTGTTCAAATCTTTCTAGACTCTGCAGTGTAATATTGCAGAATAAATACCAAGCCTCTTTGAAATGTCATAAGAGCATGTTTTTCATACCTCCCAGTAAAATGCCACAGGAACATTTCCATAGGGCATTCCAGGGAACAGCAGAATGAAGCTCCACAGAGTTCTATCCAACTTTTACACAAGAGGGAAACATTTTAGTTCATTAGCAAATGTGAGCAGAGGCAAAGGAAGCCCCCTGTGGATAACAAAAACAAGTTCTGCTACCAGAGGAAAGGATCAGAATGGAAAGCATTAGAGAAAGTTGAAATAGGTACAAGATGGAAAATAAGGATCTCTATGTTAAATGTAATCTTTGTAGCTATTCATTCCTAACACTAAGTCTAACTGGATTGAAACCTTAACTATTTCAAAGCCAGTCTCTGTGAAGGAAGGAAGGGAGGGAGGGAGGCAGGGAGGGAGGAAGGAAGGAAGGAAGGAAGGAAGGAAGGAAGGAAGGAAGGAAGGCTCACTATACCTTCTTTATAAAGAAGTAACATCCAGAAATGACCCAAAATGCTTAAAATTAGCTAGCAATTCCAAGCTAACACATAATGTAAATCAGATCTCCAACTTGAAGAAGTACTTGCTAGCTGGCAAATTCACAAAAAGTCAGTTCTAAACTGTTTGTTGAATGAGTGAATCAATCAAACGAGAAAGCTTTCTGCTTCTATGAGCTGCTTCCTTGGCCCTAACAGTTGACTTTGCATTTACCTTACTTTTGCAAGGCACACTTGCCTTTAAAATGAACACATCAACTCTTACATTCGATACATCCTTATCCCTTGACCTCTTATCACATTATGTTTCAAAACATCAAAGACACTAACGCTGTATCTTGAATGGTGGCCAAACCTCAAAAGACACAGCTCTGAGTTTGATCCTGAGCCCACAAAATCAGAAGTCTTGCAGCCACAAGTAATTTTTTTTCAACTTCACAATATGCTGACATGGTTCTTTTCTGTCAGCAATTTGAAGGCTTAAAGGATTAGATAAAAATTTATGGCTAAGTAATGAGATTTTTTTTTTTTTTAAATTCAAAGTTCTGCTCTAACTGGCCATTATTCACATAAAAGCAGGATCCTCTGTTAAGTATTGTGTCTCCCCCACCCCCATGGGCCACTTTCCTCTGGATTCTTGAAGAAGAAATGGGTTTGTCACAGATTCCCAAGTTAGTTTCTGCTACCCAATCTAAAGCCAACACCTTAAGTCACCCTATCACCACTATCTCCAGGGTTCCAGGCACCAGCTCCCAGCTCCTTGCTCATTTCAACCTGTCTGGCCTCATGTACCTAGTTAGTTTTTCAGCACACTGTTTACCCCAAGTGTATAAAATTTCCCCTTCTCCTTCATTCAACACATATGATTAATACATAGTTCTTTTATCAAAGGTTAACAAAGGGTAAACACAGCACAATGCAGAAACAACTTCAAATTGAATTCTACATATCACTAATATTAAAGGTTCCTCTCCCTGATAATCTTTCTAAACGCCTTCCTTTTGTCATTTGAACCTTTTCTTTCCTTTAGACCCTGCTCCTTTCTCTCTTCTGCTTCTTTCCCTTATCAACCCTAGTCAAAAAGGGCATTTCTCAGATTTGTTACTTTACTCTGCAGAGGGAATCTAAACATTTTTCTTTTAGTTTTCTCCTTCCAGACACTGCCTAGACACTTCAACCTTTCATGACTGACAAACCCCAACAAAGTATCTTTTGAACCACACTTCAAGTTTTTTTTCCTTTGTAACGAATGCCATCCTTCTAGGTAGTCTGTCAAAAGCTGCAGCCCATTCCTAAAATAGTTTTTCCTCTCTGGTATAAAAACATATCAGAAATTCTAGTCAAATGACTGTTGTGCTTCAGAGAAGCACCATGAGAGGCTATTCATTTACTGAAATGATATGATCATGGAGAGTTAACAAGCCGGTCAAGGAAAACGAGATGTTAAGAGGTTGTTAGGGTTTGGATATGAGATGTCCCCCCAAAGCTTTTGTTAATGCAGGAATATTCAGAAATAAAATGATTAAATCGTAAGAGCTGTAATGTAATCGGTCCATCCTAGTTTGAATGGACTAGGTGATAACTGTAGGCAGGTGGTGCGTGGCTAGAGGAGGTGGATAACTGGAGGCACGTCCTGGAAGAGTGCATCATCTCTGTGGCCCCTTCACACACACACCTCCCCCTCCCTCCCCTCCCCCCCTCCCTTTGTTTCTCTGCTTCTTGACCCTGCCATGAGCTGAGCAGCTTTTCTCTGCTGGACCCTTCTCCCAAGATGTGATGCTGCACCTTGGTCCAGAGCAGTGAGGTTAAGCTATCTATGGGCTGAGACCTCTGTTACCATGAACACCCCACCCCCCACGCAAAAAAAAAAAATAAGAAAAAATTTCCTCCTCTAAGTCATTCTTGTTGGGAATTTTGGTCACAGTGACTTAAAAGCTGATTAAAAGGTTATGGGCTTCAATAAAGGTCAAAGATAAAGAAATAGAAAAGGGAGAAAAAAAAAAACAAAAAACAGAGAAAGACAGGTGTATCTGAAAGAAAGGAAGAGTTGAAGTCTGGGCCTTTCAAGGTCGTACTCAGTCTGGTTTCCAGCTAGCACACCTGTGGGCACTTCCCCCAGAGCAGTCTTGCCCTGCATTCTTTTTCCTCTAGCTAATCTGCCCAGAGAGCTGTGGGCTAGTATTTCCACAGAGTCTCCGGAGCCATGACCTTATCTCAGCCTAATCACAGAAATCACTATAATTAGTTTTTCTTCCTCTTGGTCAGTGAACAAAACTAAAAGCAATTCACTTGAGAAATCTGCATATCTCCTCTGTCTCAGAATCTGTGGAGACTCAAGAGCTTACCTGATACTGCTAAGCACAACATGGTAGAAACAAAACCAGAAATAAAAGCAAAACCAGGACTTCCATTATCTAACCAGACAATGTCCAAACTTGCCTATGTATATGTTTTCTCTGAGAAAAAAAAAATCATTAAGTCATACAATGTATAATAAAATGCTTATATATATTTACTGCTTATATTTCTAGGCTTTGTTTTATTTATTAAGCAAATTATGTATAGCTGCTTTCAAACTGAGATAAATGTTACTAGCATTTAACAAACTTCTTAAATCATTTGTATATTTTGAATGAAAAGAACTGGCTTGGAAGAGACCACCAGTCTGCATTTGAATCCTACTTTAAGGTCTTAAGCTGAGTGACTTTGGGCAAATTACTTAATATCTTTGAATATTAGGTTCTCTTTTATCTATAAAATGGTATTGATAATACAGTGTTAACCACAAAGGCAGTTTTAAGAATTGAAGTAGTTGAGCACTTGAAACCATATATGGCATATAGTAATTACTCAACAAATGCTATCTGTTATCATTAGATATTAACCTTGCTACCTGAGCATAAAACTATGGTATACCTTTTTGCTTTTTTTAAGATGAAAGTGATTTCAGAAGTTTTAGGAATAACTGTTTTTAATATAATAAACAGTAATAATTTTAAAAAGTCAATATTGAGAGCTGTCATCCTTTGACAGTTTACCTCAAAGTCTATCAGTTGTAGGTCAGCTATCAGTGTCACCAGCAGCCCACTGTTGTAGAGTTCTTGTGCCAGCTGAGCCACTGCTTCTGTGGGGGGTTCTTTGTCACTTGTACCACACAAAATTTCTTTCATTGCTTGCAGTGATTTTGACACTTCTTCTGAAGCCTGGTGACCAAAAAGTATGTTAATAGTTAAAAAGAACAAAAAATTTCAGGCCATAAACAAACAAGAAAACCATTTCTTGGACCTTATTTATTTATAATCAAAGACCATTGTACAGTTATAAAAAACAAAGAAAGAAAATACTAATAGGCACTGCCTTTGTTATTTTGGAAATTGTCCTAAAATTTATATAAAGATCTCTAATATTTCTACTTAGTCAACATAATTGAAATAATTTTACTATAAACTATAACTCATAATTAGTAACTAAATAGAAATTTTATTTTTGAAAATTGAGTCCACTTTAAAGACTTATCAGCAGTTACCAGTCTTTATTTAAAACATCATGTTGAGATTGGTTTTTCAACAAATCTCTATTTTCCTGATCTTTTATGGACCAAGTATGAAATCATAAGTGGTCAAAATTAATAATAAGTTTGTCAACAAATTTATACATTATATGGCATCACCATATAATTTTTGTGAAACTTAAAATTAACTCATTATTACATTTAAAGAAAAATGCAAACGCATAGAGACAGAATATAGATTAATGGGTGTTAAAGAGGAGGGGGAAAGAAAAATGAGGGATTGCTAATGGGTACAGTGTTTCTTCTTGAGGTGATGAAAATGTTCCAGAATTAGTATTGATAGGCTACATAAAAATAGCTCATGTAGCAAGGCACTGCTTTTTTGGGAAGGGTACTGGGGATTGAACCTAGGGGTGCTCTACCACTGAGTCACATTCTCAGCCCTTTTTATTTTTTTACTTTGAGACAAAGTCTTGCTAAATTGCCGAGGCTGGCCTCAAACTTGTGATCCTCTTGTTTCGGTGTCCTGAGTTGCTGGGATTACAGACTTGCACCACTATAACCAGCAAGGCACTCTGTGTGTGTGTGTGTGTGTGTGTGTGTGTGTGTTGCTGGGAATTGAACCCAGGGCCTTGTGCGTGTAAGGCAAGCACTCTACCAACTGATTTGTATCACCAGCCCCTACTTTTCTTTATAGTTGTCTTACCTGTATATGCATCCCAAAATAATATAGCTTACTTCTTCTAATTTGAACTTTATGGAGTGATATTTGTACCCTTTCATGACTTGCTTCTTTCATTCAACATTACATGTGTGCGATTCACCTACGCTGCTGCATGTAGGCAGCAGTTCTTTGCTTTACATCACTCTGTAATATTCAGTTCATGGCTACACTACTTCTTTTTGGGGCCTATGAACAACAATGCTGGGAACATTCTTCTGGGAACAGCATATTTTTCCTGGTGTACATATTCAAGAATATCTCTAGAGTTTATACTTAGGAGCGGAACTTCAGGGTTTTAGCACATGCATATCCTCATATTTAATAGATAATACTAAATCAGTCTTTAAAGCTGGTACATCAGTGTGTACTTGTCACTCACAGTAAGTGAAAGTTCCTACTGCTTACCATCCTTTCCGACACTTAATATCACAAGATTTTTCATTTTTGCCAAGATAATAGGTGTGTAATATGAATTTACTGTATTTTTAATTGGTCTTTTCCTGATTATTAATTAAAAGAAGGAAGCTTTTTTTTTTTCTTTCTGTCATTTAACATTTAGAATTACATACTTTTTTATGAAGGTCATTTTTTTTCTGTTTGACTTAATATTATAAAGAATACTAGAATTAACATATTTCTCCATCCCTTTATAGAATTTAAGATTGTGTCATATACTGAGACAGAAAAATACTGTGAACCCAAGGATATTTATTTTATAGATATCTTGAATCTCATACACTAATCATTTTAGAGAGAAACTGGACGTGTGGGAATGAACATCTCCTTCAAAGGAATAACTAAAATACTAAAAACAAAAAACAACCTACCTGAAGAAAGCTTTGCTTACTAAGACTTTAAAACATCATGAGATAAAGTTGTGCTGATGTAGAAACTATCAGTCAGTCTTTAAATAAAACCTTTTCCTTTTCATGTCACTATAAGATGACAATATAAATAATCACCAATATAATCCTGAGATCTTTAAGTCTAAAGTCCATAGAAATCCAGGGCTGCTCAGAAGCCCTCAGCAGTGAGCCAAAAGTTAAAGACAAAAGACTGGACATAGTTGCATAAAACCTGAAATCAATTTTACTGTACTTACACCCTGCATGCACACTACAGACCACATTTGGGGTTCTTCATTAAGCTTTTGCATTGGATTTTGGCTTTGTTATACAGTATTTTAATAACGTTATTGTTTTTGCTCATACCTTGTCAGTCTTTTTGTCTTGCTTTTCCAAAATAGCCATGTTGTCTTTCAGTATTTTCACGATTTCTGCTGGATTTTTGTGTGATTTACTAAACAAAGGCATTTTCTTTCATATACAAAATTCTCCTCTTCCAATATGGAATGCTAAAAACAAACAAGCCAATAAAATCATAACTTTAACTCAATATGCTGAAGTTGTTATACCAAAATGTCTTTTAAATTTTTAATAACAGCAATAATTTGTAACATTAAAAGTTAACAAACTAAAACAAGTTGTTTTATGCCAAATTATAAAATACCTCAAGAAAGATATTTTAAAATATTTATCTAAAAGTTTTTATTCGCTCTCTCTTCCCCCTCTCCTCTCTCTCCCTTTCCCTCTCTCCCTCTCCCTCTCTTCCTCTCCCTCTCTTTCTCTCCCTCTCCCTCTCTCTCTTTCCCTCTCTCCCTCTCCCTCTCCCTCTCTCCCTCTCCCTGTCTCCCTCTCCCTCTCTCCATCTCTCCCTCCCTGCCCCCCCCTCCACCCCCTTCTCTTCTATGACTGGCCTCTACGTCCTGCTAATAAAATCTTGGACAGGTAAATTGTTTCGGCGGAGCTTTTCCGTTGTTCCTACAGATATGGGCTGGAGAAGCCATAGAATGTTGTGAGCAGAGCTTAATGGGCAATTCTGGTGGAAGCTCAGAAGACCAGAATGCTGTTAGAAATGTGGCCAGTAAAGACTGTACTCATGAGTTTTCAGAGGGGAATGGGGACTCTATTGGGAATCAGACTAGAGAATATTCATGTTACATTCCAGCAAAGAAGTTGTCTACATTTTGCCCATGCCCTGACATTTTCTGTGAAGGTGAATTTAAAGGTAATGGACTAATAATCTGGTGGAAGAAATTTCAAGGAAGCACAGCATTCAGGCCTGGGTGGCCTGGGTGTTGCTGGCAGATTTTAGCTAGGTTTACTGTGAAAATTGGAAGCAGAGAGATTTGGAAAACTTTGTTGGTCAAAGAAGCCTAGGTAAAATTGGGGCCAAGGAATTTACTGTAAAGATGGTCATCAATAAAGAGAAGTACTTTGCTGAGACAAAGGAAAGATACCCTGAGGGCATCTCAGGAGTCAGCAAAACCACACCCATTGCAGGATCAAGGGTGCAGAAGTGAAAACTTGTTTGAGAGACCTTGGACCTAGGCTTGCATAGGGTTGCCTAGAAAGAAGTTTCCCCAGGATTCATTTCACTATGTTTGATTGTCCAGGCATTCAGAGGTCACTGCAGTAATGGTCTAAGGGGGCCAGGCTACAGCTTGAGCTGACTTCAGACCTCAGCATCATTCACATGGTGCTAGTTCTGCATGGATGCAGGACGCTGGAATTAAGGGATACTGGAAGTTTACACTGAAATTTCAGAGAAAGGCCTGGGAGGCCAGGGAAAGTGCAGCAGGTCAGAATCCCTGCAGGCAGCCCCTGAAAGATCAATGCACGAGGCTCTGAGAAGGAAGCCAAAGATGCACTGCAGACACTCTGGATTAAGAGATGCCAACAACATGGAACATCTGCTGGGGAAAGAGGCTAGCTGTGGACAGAGCCAGCTTAAGAGAAAGGCCATTTGGACTGCAACTGGCAAGGCCATAGGGGTGGAGCTGCACAAGCCCTTTGAAGATCATATTTTGCCCTTATGTGCACTGAATACAGAACTTGGAGCTACAGGACTTGTTTTCCTAGCTGGATTTTGGTCTTGTGTTGGGTCCATCACTTTTTTCTATGCCCCCATTTCTTCCTTTTGGAATGGGAATGCTTACTGTGTGCCAATATATATTAGATATATGCAACTTGCCTTTGATCTTTACAGGGGCTCATAATCAAAAGTTTGCGTTGGCCTCAGATGAGACTTTGGACTTGGACTTTTGGGCAAAACTGGAGCTGTTAAGACTATGGGGAGGGCTGGGGATGTGGCTCAAGTGGTAGCGCGCTCGCCTGTCATGCGTGCGGCCCGGGTTCGATCCTCAGCACCACATACAAACAAAGATGTTGTGTCTACCAATAACTAACTAAATAAATAAATATTTAAAAAAAAAAAAAAAGACTATGGGGACTCTTGAAAATGGACCACATGCATTTTGCATTATGAAATGGACATGAGTTTTGGGGACCTAGAGGTGGAATGTTGAGGTTTGGATGAGCTATCCCCCAAACCTCGTATGTTAATACAGGAGTTGAAATGATTAGATTATAAGAATGTAACATAAAAAAAAATAAAAGTTTTTATTCAATGTCTTTATTTTTTCCAGCAATACAAATGTAAGGCTTATGTAAGAACACAAAAGGAATATTTAATTAAAGTGAGTTGTGATGATGATAATACTAAATGATAAAATAAAACATAAAACTTAAGTGGGATTAGGATTCATATACTGTCACAAAGCAATATTTAAAAGCATACCAATAACTACTGCATGGCAATCTCAAAATTGATATGTAAAATAAATTAGAATCTATTCTTTATTTACTCTTCAAATATTCAGTTGTTCTTATTCACTGATGAAAAAGCCTCTTCTATACATAATACCATGTATATATAATATACCAGTAGGGCATGATTTATTTTCCTAATGCCCTACTGGAGGGTGAAGGGGAGAAAAGAAGTATCAATTCTAGTCATTCAGAATATTTATTGCAGGCCTGGGGTTGTGGCTCAGTGGCAAAGCACTTGCCTAGCATGCATGAGGCACTGTGCTTGATCTTTAACACCACATAAATATAAAGGTATTATGTCCACCTAAAACCTAAAATAAATATTAAAAAAAAAAACTAACAGAATATCTGTTGCATAGAGTAAGAAAGCCAAATATGGCTGTCACTGCTGTAATGTATTAGGGGGGAAAATAATCTAGAAACCAAAGGCTCCAGCTAGTAAAGAATTGCTATTAATTTACATCTATAAGCTAAAATATTTCAGCTACTACTGAAGTATAACTTTAAAAATAAAACTTCCCATGACCCAAGTGCCCAGAGATAGTGTTTCATTGATGACTATACTACAATTATAAATTTAGGATATATATTCCCTTCAAATTTTTACTATATGTATAAAAATATTTTTAAAATAAAACTAACATACTAAGCATAATATTTGGCAACTGTTTTTTTATTTTTATATCCTGAACATCATTTCATTAATATGTTCAGATCTACTATAATATACTTATATAATACAGTAGTAGGCCATGATTTATTTTGGAGCATAATATATTTATATAATATACCAGTAGGGCATGATTTATTTTTCTAATTTTCCCTAATGTTCATATTATTAACAATGATGCAGTTAATCAAGGAAGAAAGAATATTGTGCATAAATGCATACACCAATTGATAGCAGCACCCTAGGCAGCTACTTCTGTTATATAACCTTGACTATGCTTCCAAATTCTTCATCCTCTTAGATTTCTATTTATTTTCCAAATCTGTTTCTCCAGGATTTTTGCCAGATCTGTGAACTACCTTAGATCCATCCAATAAATTCCTCAAGTAACAAAATCAGTATTTGTTATTTGTGATCAAGCATTCCAATGGGATATATATGTTATAAAATGGGAACCAAAAATGTTGGTGTGAATTTTGATGACAAAAAAGGAAAACTAAAAAAACATTACCCATTTCCAGAGAACTTCCCAATGTGGGAAGGGTATGTAGAGGTATTTGTCCATTTTCAGTCCAAGGAAAAATTTGAAAAGCACAATAAAAAACCAAATCAGTTTCTAAAGCTAATACAAAGTTGACAGAGCATTTGAAGACAGAAATACATGAAGATCTCACTGTGTTTTTCAAATTTTTCCTTGGACTGAAAATGGACAAAAAAGTTCAATGACATAGTTAATGAATTATTTCACTAAAGAAAAAGGCATAGTAGTTGCATGTTCTAGACATGTTCCTTAAGTCACTTACACTTTTTCTCATTATTTTTAAAATATATATTTACTCTCTGAATACTTAATACTCAGTGTTCAAACTTTTGGCATTAAAACAGAATTTTAAAAAGATGGGGCTGGGGTTGTGGCTCATCGGTAGAGCACTTGCCTAGCAGTGTGAGGCCCTGGATTTGATCCTCAACACCACATAAAAATAAATAAATAAATAAAGGTATTGTGTCCAACTACAACTAAAAAATTAATATTAAAAAAAGGAAAAAAATCTAAATGAATTTGTGTAATTGTTCTCTTTCTTTGTGTAGTCCTGTCACATTAAGGGAAAGAAATATAACTACAGGAATTTCAACTAAATATTCCCTGACATCAAAACAGAGCATAAGTATGATATGGTATTACATATATATGATATGAAATTTTTTTTGTCCCTTACCTATTGCTCTGCTTGGTTTTTGCCATATTGATCTAATTCTAATGTTAATTTGTTGAAATTATAAATGCTTTCAGGACTTCCATGTTAATAATGTGGTTAGCTAGTGTTTCTTGATTCATTATCTCCTTGAATTTTCATTTGTTGGTTCATTCACTTACTCACTGAACAAATAACCTGAGTAAATACTATGTATAAGCACCTTGCTTAATGCTAGGGATAGAGCCATGAACAAGAAAAACATAATTCCTGTTCTTTGGAGCTTATTAAGTAGGAAAAAAAAGCAGACATTTTAGGGGCAATGGGATTATGTAACAGTCTAATACTATATGGTGCCTCTTAATAAACAGTATTCTTTTAAAATTATTTCCTATTTTAAATGTACCTAGTTACTATAATAAGTATAATATATAAAATTAATGTAATAATGTTATAAAATTTCAAAGGATCTTTACTTTCCAATTTTAGGACCCATACTTTGAGGGAACTCAAAGCTCATACATTCAAATGATGCAGCTCCAGCCCTCAAAGTTCCAGCAAATTACAACATTTCCTACGTGCCCAGTTCTCCACGTCCAGTCCCACTCTACTCCCAGACCAAACACTTCCCCCCTTCACCCACAAACTTGGAGATGCTGTTCTGTTTGGGAAACTGTACTGGTCACTGTGTATGCATCTACTCCAATACCATCATTTACCCCATTAGTTATTTAAGAAATGAGCCAACTGACCACGCACAGTGGCTCATACCTGTAATCCCACCTGCTTGGGAGGCTGATATAGGAGATCAGCTTGGGCA